AAAAAAAGCTGGCGTACCCGTCCCTAATCCAGTTACCCCTGTCAGAGTCCGTTAAAGACAGGCAGTTCTACTTTCATTTCCAAGCACCTATGAGACTGTGGCAGAGATTGCAAAATTTTTCTTTAGCTTTTCATTGTCTCTATGTTCTTTAAACGTAGCCTGTTTCTTTCTTGAATTGCCAGAGTTTTTAAAGTGTGCTTTAAGGGTAGTTTTTGTTGTTTTTTTTTCTTTACTCCGTTTTACACACACTTTCTGTGCTGCTTCTCCCAGTCTCACTCTCTCCCTCCTCCAGGAGCGGCTGACTCCTCTTTTTCCTCACTACCTCTGGCTTTTCCTTCTTGCTATCTGTCTGTGGTGCAAAGTGCCTCTCTCTGCAGCCAGTGAGTCTCCCTGAAGCCTTTTATACGTTCCCTGGCTAATTGCTGCAATAGAGAAATGAAAGCCTAATCTTGGTAAAGATCTTGACGTCATTGAGAAAGAGGGCTTTACTTTGGCCAGGACTGCAGTGAATAGAAAAGCAAAACTCAACAACTTTTTTTTTTTCAGAAGGGGTTGGGGAGAGACAGTGGAATTTTGCTTTGTGATTTAAAGAGAGAGAGAGAGAGAGAGAGAGAAAGAGAGAGAGAGAAATTAATACCTTTGACAGCTTTCGGGAAATGCTTCCAAACTTTGGGAAAAGTAATTTAATATAATATGTAGATTGATACGGTAACACTCTCATTTCTGATCATCATTATCATTAATTTATGAGGAGTTTGGGAAAGAAAGGATGCTGGAAGGCAGGTATAAAAGAGGAAGAGTAATTACAGGTGGTTGTTGCTGTACTTCTTGGAAGATGTGAATGTTTATATGTGATCTTTATACTATGATTCTATCTCTTCATCAGATTTGTAACCTACGTCCTTTAAATATTTTTGAGTCATGCTCTTATTTAAGAAAATGCAAAGTGAGTTGTGAGGTGGGAGACTTTTAAACTGAGTGCCATCGCAATATTTCTCTAAAGCTTCTTGCAGAAATTTAATACAAGTTTTCTTTTCAGTTTTACTCAAGCTTCCAATGCAAAAAAAAAAAAAAAAAATCCTCCAGACATGGTGACTAAATCTTCTTTTAGCTTCATTTTGCCTCTATGTAGATAAAATCAAAATTTTCCATTTAATGGCATTAGATGCCATAAAGCTGAGAAATTAATTATTTATAAGAGAGCTCTTTAATTCAGTACTTCCCATGCTTCTGTTTGCATAACCCCTAAGAGACCTGACACTTTAGGGAATCTTCCTTTTTGTTTGGGAAAAAAACCCTAAATTTATAGGCGATCAGGAGCAGACTTTGAAATGATTGAAGTTGCCACAGTGACCACTGGTTAATGGCTGGCTTCTTCCATTAGTCTTTAGGACAGGTATCTAGACAATGCTTCGGCAGAATGCCATAACCCCCGCCTCACTCTAGCTTTCCTTCCTTTCTTATCTAACAGATCACTTCTAGGAATTGTGTTTTCTTGGAAGGAGTGGCAAGTGCAGACACTGGGGTGGGGTGTAAATTTTTAATTGAAAATTAATTAGCTGAGTTTTCTGGGTACACAGAGCTCTCATTAAGCATAAGCTAAGCAGTGGGTGCAAGCCTCAGTATATTGCTGTATTTTGTCCATGTGGCTAAGATCTGCATGATCACAGAAATAATTTGAAAGCCTAGAGCAGGGGTCATTAATTGGTGGGCCCATGGGCTAAATTCTGCATATGAATGCTTTTGTTTTGTTGGCAGGGGGCTTTTTTGCCTTAACAAAAAAAAAAAGTAATCAAAGGAGAATGTCTTTAGGTTCTGTAAGACCAGGGATTCTTATCCACTTTGTTTATTACTCTACCCTCAGCACTTGGAGCCATGCTTGGCTCACTGTGGATGTTCTGAACGAATGAATGGACTGAGCATGTAGAGGGCCTCTGCACTGCTCCACGCTAGGGGGCACCATTCACATACGATACAGTGTGAATGGGATGGGGTGCCGTGGAGTTGTAAAATGTGGGGGCCTTGTGCATTGCCCTCCGCAATGACACAGCCCTCAGCACTCTGTACAACCTAATTCCTTCATTTTTATCATCAGTTTGGCCCGTGATGAGTTTTGAATTTGTATCCCACGACTAAATATTTAGAGAAGACTTCAGAGCTTAGAAAAATGAATATAAACCAGATAGAAAAATCATATTTTCCCTATGACTAGCATTCATCGTTAGCAAAATAGTATTATTCATATATATATATATATATATAATATAATGTAAATTTACTCCATTCACCTTCTCATACTTCTCCATGTCCTTATGGGAGAAAAGAACGGACGAAGAGAGGGAGGTGACAACATGGTATTTTAACTAGTGTAGATGGGAAAGCTACAGTACCAGACAAAGTCTCCGCCAACAATGACAGAAGAAGGTGTGGACTCAGGAAATGACGCTTCCACTCACTGCCCAAGCCTTAAAATCTCACCCCTTCTCAGACATTCATTTCGCCCTATTTGAATTAAACCAGCACTCCTCTGAGGTGGAGACTTTGGCAGCTATAAACCAATTCTCTCCCGCTTGCCATTTGCTCTCAAGCAGGGAGGTATGTTTGGAAATGACAAGCTAAGGAGAGGGAGTGGTAGAACATCAGAAAATGCTTTCTTTTTAAATGCAAAGTTCAAAGCACATCCAGACTATAAATGGTTATAAATCAGAATTATGACTCTGTTGGGGGCTGTTTGTTTGGTTTTACTTTTTTTTTTTTTAGGTCAGAAGTCTTTGAAGAGAATTTTAAAAACATAAGATTACAAATAGGCACATAGCCAATCTAATCATGTCTTTTCTTGGATTTCTTCTATCATTTTTCTAAATGAATGAATAAATGAATCACAGAACTGAAAACCATTCCTCTAGCAGATAGTCTATCTGTTGTCCATCCTAGAAATTACATTTCTCCAAAACTATTTTCTCTTTTTAGGTATGGTTCACAGTTGCTTTTTCTAATTATTAATAATATAAATATTATTATATCATATGTTAAAACACATTGATCTTCAATTAATTTATACTCATTAAGTAACAAAATAACCATAAGGTTACATGATTTTCCCCAACATATAGATGAGAGAAAGTGGATCACCAAGGTTGTAGAGTCAGAGCTAATGTTGGGATATTTTCCCTAACTCTAAATTTCACCTTTTTTCCTTAATAATTATTTTACGAGTCCTGGTCATTACTCTAAGAATCAAACCCTTGTCAAAAGTGGTTTATTTGTAATTTTGCCTTCTAAATTGCAAAGGATATCTGGGATTTCACATCTGTTTAATATTGCCCCAACTCAAGCTCCTGGTTTAGATTTCATATGATCTTTTAAAAGGTTTGGACAACTTCTAGGTCATGTAAGTGTTCTCAGCAATGAACAATGTAATGAGTTAAATGCAAACCAACGTGCGGCATGTTGTTGGTTGAAATTTCCCATACAATATTGCAAATGGTTTTAAATTCCAAAGAGAGGCAGCCTAGGCAAAATGCTTTGGGTTTTTTAATGAGTACAGAACCACTGTAAAATTGTTGAACTTTTTTTTCTCTTTCTGTAGTAAGACAGCATCGTGTCCCATTATTGCCTCCTTCTGGTTCAAAAAATGACAAGTGTATGAATGACAAGTCTTCCTTTAGTTCACTTCTTGACTCTTAAAATGAGATAGAGAAAATGAGGTTGGATAACCTGATAGCAGACTGGGAAATCCGAAGCATGGCAGCTACCACTACTATTTCTTTGTTCGTATCCAAAAGAGCAAAAGAGCATCCAGATCATTCTGTGAAGTTAACAGTTCATACCATGGACTTTCAGGCTTTCCTTGTTTTCACAGAATTTTACCGTATCAAATTTAAGTGATTTGTCAGATGCCTAATAGAAAATGAGTTTCGTTTTTATTTTATTAAAAATGTGTCAAATAAATATCATTATAAATCCAAAAATGTCTGGAAAGGAAAGGTGTGCTGATTTTGGATTTGGGAATATGGTTACCATACATAACCCCCAAAGCAGTGCAGCTTTTATCAGAGAAAGGAATCACATACTACACAACCCTCTGCTGCTACTCCTGGTTGTGCTGGAGAGGGAGTTATGATGAAGGGTTTATACCACGACTACTGAATCACTCGAAATTCCCTGTGGGTTCATTCATTCTACAAACTGCAGCCGTGCTCTCTGCCTTGTGATGAAAGGAGAAGCTCAGTGGATAAAATACACAATCCCAGGGTAAACTCTGACACACCTTAAGCAAAACAACTTCAGGCCAGGCAGGGAAGGTGGGCGCTGTGGGAGGTGTGCACTTTCTGTCCCCACCGGCCCTCCCTGGGTCCCCTGCAGGCACTGGCGGCAACACAGTCTAAGGTGTTAATGCATGCTTCCCTCAGGAACTGTTGCTGCTCTTTTCCCTCCCCCCGCCAGGCCATCTACTGGTAAGACAGGAAAAAAAGGGAAAAAGAAGGAAAGGAAAAGCCAACGTGAAGAGGAAAAGGGAGATAAGATGGTGGAGAGGAGAAAAAGGAAGGGAAAAAAAAGATTCCATGAATTGCCTGTGGAGGCTTCCATCAAGAGAGCCAGTGAATGCCAATTGTGGCCATGCTTTTTCTGAGGAAGACAGCTGTCCAGAAACTGGATGAACGCTGCCCCTCATTTCACAGAGGCCACAAAACAGCTGTTAGGGTTGCAGCCTGCATTTGCTATTGGCCTGGCCTCGATCTACTTTGATAGCCAATCCTCACCCGCAGCTGCTCAAACCTCTCTGGGTGCATGAGGCTCTCTGAGTGTTACTTAGTTTTGAGAATAGTTTATTAACCTCTA